TGGTGAGAATGTGGAGAAAATGGAAACCTTGTACATGGTTGGCTGGAATGTAAAATGACGCAGCTGCCACGGAATACAGTTTGGCAGTTCCTCAAAAACACACGATTATCATTTTTGGGTGCACATTCGAAAGAACTGAAAGCAGGGACTCAAACACATTTGTACATAAGTGTTTATAGCAGCATTTTCACAACAGTCAAAATGTGAAAACGCAAATGTCCACTGACTGAATAAATAGAATGTGTGTGAATACACACATGTATACATACAATGGAGCATTTAACTTTAAAAAGAAAATTCTGACACTTACTCGAACATAGATGAACCCTGAACACCTTATGTTAACTAAAATAAACCAGACACAAATAAATACTGTATAAAGTATTTTCCCCATTTACATGAGATACCTACAGTAGCCAAATTCATAGTGACATACAGTATGCTGGTTACCAGGGCCTGGGGGAAGGGGAAAAGATGGGTTATTGTTTAATGAGTATGGAATTCCAGTTTGGGATGATGAAAAGGTTCTGGAGATGGATGTTGATGGTTGCATAATATGAATATGCTTAATGCCACTCAACTGTATACTTAAAAATGGTTAAAATGATAAATTTCATGTTATTTAACAGAAATAAAACTCTTTATATTCCCAGGTGACATCATGGATATAGAAAATCCTAAGCAGCGCACAAAAAACCCCATCAGAACTGAATTTAGCAAAGTAACAGGCTACAAGGTCGAATATACAAAAAAACACAACTATAAGTCTATATACTAAGACAAAATATAAATTAAAACTTTTAAACATCTTTATAATAGTATCAAAAAAAAAACATGTCTTGGAACAAGTTTTTTTAAAGATTTTGTCAGAAAGAGTGTGCGCACAAATGGAGTAGCAGGCAGAGGGAGAAGCAGGCTCCTCACTGAGCAAGGAGCCCCATCCAGGACTTGATCGCAGGAACCTGGGATCATGACCTGAGCAGAAAGCAGATACTTAACCAACGGAGCCACCCAGGCGTCCCTCAGAATAAATTTAACAAAACATATACAGACCTGTATTCTCAAAACTTTAAGAGAAATTAAAGAAAACTTAAATAAATGAAGAAATACAGCATGTCTGTGGTTCTGAAGACGAGATATTGCTAGAATGTCAGTTCTCCCCAAATTGATCTATCGGTCAATCCCTACCAAATGGACCACATTCCTGAATGTGAAACTATAATAATGGAGCTTCTAAATAGACATACGAGCATTATCAATGAAGTAGTATAAAGTCATACCTGTGACCCAGCAATCTGAGTAAAACAGTAACATGTACACTGTTATTCATTTCCTAGGGTTCCCAAAACAAAGTACCACAAACTAGTGGTTTAAAGCAAAAGAAATCTATTGTCTCAAAGTTCCAAAGGCTAGAAGTCCAAAATCAAGGTGTCAGCAGGGCCATGATTCTCTTGAAATCTATAAGGGGATTTTTCCTTGCTTCGTCCTGGCTTCTGATGATTTGCTGGTAATCTCTAGAATTCCCAAGCTTATAGGTGGATCACTCCTGTCCTTCATCTTCACATAGAGTTCTCCTGTTATTTCTTCACATGGCTTTCTTTTTTACAAGGACATCAGTCATCCTGGATTAGGGGCCAAGCCTAATTAAGATTAGCAAGACCTCATCTTGAGTAATTACATATGCAATGACCCTATTTTCTAATAAGGTCACATCCTGAGGTACTGGGAGATGGACATACAATCTAGCCTATGATATACAAAAGTACAAGAATATTTATAGAAGTTTTTCATAATAGCCAAAAACTACAATCCATATGTCCACCACCATTAAAACACATTTTAAAAGCTGTAATCTATTTATATAAAGGAATGCTACACAGAAATGAAAATAAAGAACTACAAAAACATGAAACAACTTTGATAAACCTCATAAACATAATATTAAACAAGACATACATGAAAACACTGGATCCATTTATATAAAAAATAGGTAATAAAAACTATACACTTATGTAGCGATGCATGGTTACATAGTAAAAATTTAAAGAAAACAAGTGATTAACCATAAAACTAGGATAACAGTGAGCTATCATCAAAAGGACAAGTGCTGTGATTAGGAGAGGACATAATGGAGATTCTGGGGTATTGGCAATATTTTCAACTTCTTTACCTGCATGGTAATTTACACAGGTATAATGAGTTGTACTCTCATTCTTTTCTGTATTTTTCTATGAGTGATATTTACTTTAAAATGTAGTTGAAAGAAAAGCTTTGCTGAAAAAATTGGAAAAATACTTGAAGCAAATATGACAAAGAGTTAATATCTTTATGTCTCAAGTTCACACCTAAATAAGTGGAAAATAAGCAAAGTGCAAAATTTTATGAAATATGTTGCCCTTTGAGTTAGAGGGGAAATGAGAAAATATCTACTCCTTTGTTGAAAAGAAATCTAGTAGAGGTAAACTAGAAACTAACTGGTTATTTGGGGGTGGGGGGTTGGAATGAGGTGGAAAAGACAGAAGAAATGAATGGGGTGAGGAGGAAAGGGTGTGGTACTGAGAATCTTTTTTGGACAGCTCTGACATTTAGAGGCATATTAGTATCTCACACACCTCAAAACAATACAACAACAAAGTAGAAAGAATCAGTAAGATGAAGTGGAAAACTAAACTGGAATTAAAAACAGAACCAAATGTAATAAACCATTTAATAAGTAAATAATGTAACCACAATGAAGAGGAAAAAATATTAATCCAAATAATTTTTTTAACACAGTAAATGAACTATAATATAATCCTTGGGCTAAAGACAAAAAGAACCCGACCAAATACTGAACTCTTACAGTAAGTTTCTTTTTTGCAGTAGTAGTAAGTTAGTAATTCTAAAACTTTGTTATTCTAGGATTAAGCAAATAATAACATTATGGAGAACAGCAAGCAGAATTCTCATCAATGTGGAAAACAGTTACAAATATGCAAGAGAACAGTGAACAAGAGTCATGGACTGCAACTGATGTGATGGTATCGATGTGAACTGATGGCTGTTTATAAATACAACAGATACCAATGTGGGGGTGTATTGCATATTCACTCACCCCTGCCTGTATCTATTTCTTAATTGTCAACTGACAAGGCCTAGAAACATGACAGCCCAATAGCAAATGAGCACATAGAGCACACACATCTTGGGTTTTCCAATGCATTTTCCACCAAAGGTACCAGGGATCCTTAGAGAAATGGCGGACTCCAGGGTTGGGATAAGCCTGAAACCTTACTGTGTTAACATGTAAAGAAAATGCTCAATCAATGACAGGGGGTCATTTCAAAAGGACACAAGAATCAGTTTGAAGGGACCCCCATTGGCCCAATCTGAGACAAATGTGAGCATCAATGTAAATAATGATAGTAAGGAAATATAACTTGTTGAATACATTAAGATTCCAAGAGTCCACGGGTCCACAATGATATAAATAAGCAGGGAAGAAAGGAAAGCTATTCTTTACAACAACAACAAAACCAATAAATATAAAAGGACTGATGGAATTAGAAAATGGACACTGGGCAACCATCAAACCAATAAATGATTCAGAGAAAAATGATCAATGGATAATACCTACTGGGTAAAAGGTTGAGGAATAACAGGATATTTAAAGAGCCTTACACTATTTCCCCCACAAGGCACCTATAAATTACAAAAGGAGAAAGAGTAACTTCACAGTGTAGTAACCTAACAAACACTACTTTAACCAAACGATCAAAGTTAACATCACCTCTAGAAATGGGGCAAACTGACAGTATGTGTCTCCATAAGCACCTTTCTGTCATAGTCCTCACAAAAATGCATGAGGCGAATTTAACCATGAAAATGTATCATACAAACCCAACTGAAAGACAGTCAACAAAGTAACTGGCCTAAACCTTTTAAATATCAAGTCATGAAAAACAAGGAAGATTGAAGAATTGTTGCAGATCAAAGCAGACTAAACACATGGGGCAACTAAATCCAATGCGTAATTCAAGATATTCTTTTGCTGTGAATTTACTATTTTGCTGTAATTTCTTGGCACCACTGGAGAGATCTAAATAAGATCTACAGATCAGATAGTAGTATCATGCCAGCTTACTTTTGATAATTGTACTGTCGCTATGTAAGTCAATGTTCTTGGTTGTAGGGTATGCAACTGACATAATCTGAAATTAAAGGTGTAAGTATGTGTATTATATATACACATACATAGAGAAAGGGAGAAAAAGCAATTGACAGTAAGAGTTAGAAGCAAGAAATTAAAGAATAAAACAAGTATGGAAAATAATACGGGAGGAATTTGGGCAAAAGGTATACATAGGAATTTTTTATACAATTCCTGCATATTTTCTACAAGCTTGCAATTATGTCAAAATAAAAAAGCTAAAATTCTTACTATACAAAAATCAGACATTTCATAAAAGCAAAATCAAAGATGAGAAATTATTCAACCACTTAAAACATATTTTTTGCTACTTAATTGGCACTAAAAACAAAAATGACAACATTCAGTGGTAGCCAGATTCTGGAGAAGTACTTTCGTACTTTACTGTTTGAATAACTGGTTCCAAACCTTTTGAGAAAAACAATGTGACAATATGAACTTAAAGTTATAAAAAAAAGAGAGAGAGTATAGATTCCAGTGATTCTACTGGTGGGACTCTATCCTAAAGAAAAGTCATTATACATAAATGTAATCACTACAGCTTTAAGCAGAATACAGGAAGAGTTTAAAGAAAACAGAATCACCCATGGGAATTATTCAGTCACTAAAATAAATAGTCTATAAAAACTAAGCAAACGTGGAGAAGTACTTACAAAAGATATGGTAATATGATAAAAGTAAAATTGCACGAAGAGAATAACAACAAGCGGCTGTTTTAAAAATAACTACACACAAAAAAACTTCATAGCACTGTGATAGTATTTGTAGGAGGTTTTTCCCTTTATCTTTCAAATTATAACTTTATTATTTTAATACTGAGAAATACACAATAAAAGAAAATGAGCTCAGTTACTGCTTTCACATTAGTTCTTTATGTTTACAAAGTGCATCTGGAAACATTTCAGTGACAGAAATAAAGGGAAAAAATCATGAGTAAGTGCTTTATATAAATATCTTTATTTTGCTTTTGGATGTATATAGCAGTGTACATTTGAGTGAGGAGGCTGCTCAAGCCGAATAGGGAAAAGGTTACAAAATATACATTAAAAATATTCGTATCAAAAGCATGAGGATCCTTCCATCCTTTTTTAAAGAACAAGCACATTCATACAAATGGAAGGGCTGTGACAAAGAATTTCCAAGTTCAAGAGCCTGTCACAGTAATGAGGTATAAATAACGGGCAAGAGGAGTCTTGCAAGCTTCTCTCTTCTCCAGTGCTCACTGAAGTCTCATTCGTTTTTCAGGAGGGCCTTTGGTGCTCACTATCTGTTGGACGTTCTTTGTGGTCTCCTTCTCTTCAGATTTTACAGTTTCTGGTACAGGTTCTGTCTCTTTCTTTGTCTGATCCACTAGACATCAAAAGCAGGTATTTTTTGGAGAGGAAGGTGGAGGGATGAGATCAATTTAGGCAACGGTAAAATGAATACTTTAGACTCAAGTCCATTTAGAACTGCCTATCTCAAGTTCTAAATTTGGCTGTTTTATCAGGCAGATATATAAGAACCCATTTACAAACCTAAAACCCTGATAACCCAGGCAAATTTGTGATCATACACAAAAACACTTGTCCTTTAAATAAGACGATATGCACAAACAAGACACAGAGTCTCTCCCAGGCTGAACAAATACTTCAATATCTGTTTTCAATGATGAAACAGAACACCTTTCTTTCACACTGAGATCTGAACTAAAACTCAGATCACCTTGGCTCTTCCACCCCTCCTCAATACTTACTCTTCCTACTCCAATTAATCTTTTAAGTACTCATATCACTACCACAAAAGCACCTTCTGGTCTCACAAATTAGGAGTAACAAATTACCATGAGAGTCTAGAAGGACAAAAGGACCTTAGCTCATCTCATGTGCTACAGTTGTCACTGAGTTAAACAGACCAGTTTTATTTCAAGTTTAATAAGAATATCAGGAACCATACCTGGGACAGGCTTTTCTCCAGACTTTTGCTATAATTTTAAGAAAGGGGGATAGAGAGGAGAAAACAGGGCAGGTTAGCAAAGTTCTCTTCTTCTTGACTTCATAATTCTTATTAAAATTATACCTTCATTCATATTATATTAAAAATGATTCCATAAAGAGGAACTACTATTCATGTACCATAAAAAGTAAATGTATCATTTTCTACTTCTCATCCCCTTGTTCCAGAACAGTCACAAAGCTAAAACTAGGACAAAAGAAACATAAACAATCCTCCCTTGAACATCTATCTACAGGCCCTCTGCCTCCACACCCAGGCTGTAATACTTTACAAAAAGTAGCTAAGCAGAATCCAATGGCAGAGAATAATAGAGTCTTTCAAGACTCCGGAGGCATACTTGTTTAGGGGATATGAGCTTGAAGAAAGGAGAATAAAATACAGATGAACACTCCAACTTACAAAGATGGCAGGTATGGGAAGCAAAGAGGGAGAAGGTATTATTCTATGAACATACGGCTTCTGACGAGCGTCTATTAAAAATCAAACTACAGGGGTCCCTGGGGGGCTCGGTTGGTTAAGTGTCTGCCTCTGGCTCAGGTCATGCCACCTGCTCAGCAGGAAGTCTACTTCTCCCTCTCCCTCTGCCCCTCCCACCAGCTCATTTCTCTCTCAAATAAATAAAATCTTTTAAAAAATTTATTTTTTTTTTAAATCAAACTATGGTAAAATAATGACAGGAGCATCATGAGTCAGGAACAATGTCATTATGAGTCTCACCACACAAGGTCAGATCCTCCATCCTGTGCAACAGCTCTTTTATTTGATTATACTGTCATCGTCTATGGCCATACCACCCTGAACGCGCCCAATCTCGTCTGATTATACTGTCATCTCCCCCCACCAACCTTTTTTAAGGTTTTATTTACTTATTTGACAGAGATAGACACAGCGAGAGAAGGAACACAAACAGGGGGAGCGGGAGAGGGAGAAGCAGGCTTCCTGCAGAGCAGGGAGTTCAATGCAGGGCTCGATCCTAGGACCCTGGAATCATGACCTGAACCAAAGGCAGACACTTAACAACTGAGCCACCCAGGTGCCCATCATCTCCCTTTTCCTATTATCTAACTTAAATTCTTTAAAACAGTTTCCCCCTCCCTCCTCAAGGCTCACAACCTACCCTTCACTTGCAGTTAATGACTCTGTATTCTACGTTTTCAAAAAAAGGATGTCAAAACCCCAAGTTCCCTCCTAGCTATCTCCTTCAAACTTATTATTCCTTTTCCTATAAACACATGCATTAAATACACACATACATGTAACTTTATAAACTTCCCCATCATCTCAAAAGAAAAATGTTCTCTTCACTTTTAAGGTTAATGTTTCCAGGCATTTTCTGAATTTCCTTCTGAAATTACATGCCCTCCCTAAGCTTTCTCATCTATTCTATGACTAAAGACTATCATTTCCTGATATCACGTTTTCCAGATTCATGCTGACAACTGCTTGATAGCTCATTCCAACTGCAAGTTCTGGGAAGCTACACTTAATAAGACCAAAACTGAGTTCCATATTATTATCCATTGTGCAGAAAAGATTAACATTGAAAGCCTGAGGCTGCTATCCTTAGAAAAGCCAGCTTGCAAGGCTAGCCCTTGCTGATGACTAAGAATTTTGGAAGGTTCCCATCATTCCCTGATAGTGGTGGCTCACTGTGCAATGTTGTTTATGCTGAACATTTACTTCCCTTCCAGGAATGTGAGTTTTGGTTATCAGCTAGATAGAGTACCTACATGATGAACTCCCTCTCCTTTATTCAAAAAAACACCAGCACCACTTCTCTAATGGACTTCCTTGGGCAAAAATACCACATACATGTTGCCTCAATTTCACCGTTGAGAGAAGAATGCACTTTGTCTAATCCCTAATGGGAAAGACAGGATATAAGGAAGCCTGCGCACAGGCTCCCTCAGACTCTACTTGTCTTTTTCCTTAAATCTGGCTGTATATCCTTACTATGTCACTCTAATAAATCCAGTGAGTCTTTTAAGCAAATCTCCAAACACGAGGGTGCTCATAGGACCTCCAACATACCCACATTATCACACATCTTACAAATATATCAGGATTTAAATATGCCTAAAGTGATCTGAGGGAACAAAGAATTTTTCTTACTTTATAACAGGAGAGTAAATACATGGCATAACACTGAAAAGTAAGAAATCGACAGGAGAATTTTCTTCTACTACTAGCACTGAACTATTTGAACTATACTGGACACTGGACTGTATATGGACTTCTGAATAATGTCATCACATACCCAACACACACTCTCATCTTTTCTAGTGAGTACTGTCAGACAAACTAGTAGCACACGGTTTCAGATAGGAAAATAGAATGGGGGCAGATTTTGACAAAATTTAATCAGTAACCTTGAGATAAACCTAGCTGAATACTATGGTGTTCAACAACTTCTGAAAACAGCAGTGAAAAGACATTCATCATAAAGGGCCCTGAACTCCCATCACATTAGTGAGAGTGTAATCTTCAGTAGTAGTAAGAATTACAACACAGAAAAAGGAACTCCAAGGAAGTAGTCAGGGCTTTCCCAATATTCTCCTGAGCACTCCTCATAAGGCAACCCAGAAGCTCAACTGTCAAATACAATGGATAAGTAAGAGTAAGTCCTGAGCCACAAACAGTTCTGGGAGACACAACTGGTAAACAGGAAGTTCACAGGAGACTTCAGGTAAACCAAAAATCTACTTTTCTCTCTAGATCTCAGAAGAAACATTTTGCGTAGGAGCAGTGGGATTAACAATTCTAGAGAAAGCCATCTTTCTTCTAGTTCTGTTACATAGAAGTGGACATATTCTCTCTTTTGGAGTTGACTTTGGCCCTTGGATGGTTAAAAGAAATGTAGGATTCTAGAAAAATGACAACAGAAGTAGGACTATGGCTTAAACCTTTCAAAGAAAAATGGGGCCACCTGGGTGGCTTAGTGGGTTGAGCATCCGACTGTTGGTTTCAACTCAGGTAGTGATCTCATGTGTCAGGAGATCAAGCCCTGCATCAGCCTCCATCAACCTTTGCACTCAGTGGATAGTCTGCTTGAGATTCTCTCCCTCTCCCTCTGCCCCTCCCCCCACTCAAATGTGCATGCACTCCCTCTCTCTAAAATAAATCTTTAAAAATAAATAATAAAAAAGAAAAATGTAAAAAAAGAGCTGACATGATATGGAGTCTGCAACCAGCTTCAAAATAATTCAAAATAAATTCAAATAAACTCAAATTCAAATTCAAACTCAAACTCAAATTCAAATAAATTCAAAATAAACAAGATTGGCCATGTTTGATGACTGTTGAAGCCAGGTAACAGATACATATGGGGTTTTGGTTTTAATTATTCTACTTACTTTCATATGCTATTTTAAATTTCTATATTTTTCTATAAAGCAAAGTGTTTTTAAGATTCAAGAGTCTGAAGTTTTCTACATTGTCCAGCCTAGCTCATCAGAATAGGAAAGTATGTGGAATTTAAGACAGGACTCCTAGCCAGAAAAAAAGGTCACTCAGCTGGGATACCTCAGAACCTAAACACAGCAGTAAGCTACTGAATATTCTGGAGATGGTCAATTAAAATAGAACCTTAACAACTAGTATTTAAACCACAATCTGTTTCTTTTCCTATATTCTCAATTTTGGTTATCAATCAAAACCAAGTCTAAATCTAAGCCTGATCCAAATCAGCAAAAAAGTCATCAAACTCTCATTCTTTGCAGACAACATGATACTCTATGTAGAAAACCCAACCCTCCCCCAACCAAAATTGCTAGAATTCATACAGGGATTCAGCAAAGTCACAGGATATGAAATCAATGCACACAAGTCAGCTGCATTTCTATACACTAACAACAAGAAAGAAGGAGGAGAAATTAACAAGTTGATCCCATTTACAATTGCACCAAAAACCGTAAGATACCTAGGAATAAACCTAACCAAAGATGTAAAGGTTCTGTACTCTGAAAATTACAGAACACATATGAAAGAAAATGAGGAAGATGCAAAGAAATGGAAAAACATACCATGCTTATAGATTGGAAGAACATACATTGTTAGAAGGTTTAGGTTACCCAGCGTAATCTACGCGTGTATTTAGGGCAATCCCTATCAAAATACCATAAACATTTTTCACAGAGCTGGAACACATATCCTAAATTTTGTATGGAACCAGAAAAGACTCCGCATAGCCAAAGGAATGTTGAAAAAGAAAACCAAAGCTGGAGGCATCACAATTCCAAACTTTAAGCTGTATTACAACATTGTAATCATTAAGACAGTAGAGTGCTGATACAAAACAGATACATAGATAATGGAACAGAATACAGAACCCAGAAATGGACCCTCAACCCTATGGTCAACTAATCTTCAACAAAGCAGAAAAGATGTCCAATGGAAAAAAGAGTCTCTTCAACAAATGGTGTTGGGAAAATTGGACAGCCCCATGCAGAAGAATGGAACTAGACCACTTTCTTACACCATACATAAAAATGAAACTCAAAATGGACAGAAGACCTAAATGTGAGACAGGAATTCATCAAAATCCTAGAGGCAGCAACCTCTTTGACCGAGGCTTCAATAAATGGTGTTGCAAAGACCAGGCAACCACATGCAAAAGAATAAAACTAGACCATTATCTTATACCATACATAAAGATGAACTCAAAACGGATTAAAAACATGAACATGAGACCTGAAACCAAAAAACTCAAGAAGAAAAACATAGGCTATAAGCTCCCTGACATCAGTCTTGGGAGATAATTTTTTGGATTTGACACCAAAAGCAAACACATCAAAACCAAAAATAAACAAGTGGGACTATATCAAACTAAAAAGCTCCTACACAGCAAAGGAAACCATCAACATAATGAAAAGGCAACCTACAGAATGGGAGAAAATATTTGCAAATCCTATATTCAATAAGGGGTTAACACCCAAAATATATATAAAGAACTCATACAACTCAACGGAAAAACAAAACAAAACAAAACCCCCAAACAACCCAATTAAAAAATGGCAGGGGAGGGACAGCTGGGTGGCTCAGTTGGTTAAGCATCTGATTTCGACTCAGGTCATGATCCCAGGGTCCTGGGATCAAGTCCCACATAGGGCGCCTTGCTCAGCAGGGAACTTGCTTCTCCCTCTGTCTGCTGCTCCCCCTGCTTGTGCTCTCTCTCTCTGACAAATAAATAAATAAAATCTTAAAAAGAGAACAAACAAAAAAAAAAGGCAGAGGAACTGAGTATTTTTCAAAAGAAGATATATACAACTGGTTAACAAGTATATTAAAAGGTGCTCAACACTCCAATCATTAGGGAAATGCAAATCAAAACCAGAGTGAGATATCCCTTCACACCTATCAGAATGACTATCAACAAAAGACAAGAGATTACAAGTGCTGGCAAGGATGTGAAGAGGGAACCCCTATACACTGTTGGTAGAAATGTAAACTGGTACAGCCAGTATGGAAAATAATAGAGAGTTCCCAAAAAATTAAAAAAAGAAATACATGATCCAGCAAGCCCACTTATGAGTATATACCCAAAGAAAATGAAAACAAGATATTGCAAATAACTGCATTCCCATGTTTACGACAGCATTAACTCACAATAGCTAAGATATAGAAACAACCTACAATCTATCAAAAGATGAACAGATAAAGAAAATGTGGTATGAAATTATTATTGAGCCATCAGAAAGGAGGAAATACTGCCATTTGCAGAAAAAAAGATAAACCTTGAGGACACTATACTAAGTGAAATAAGCCAGAAAGAGAACGTGAAATAATCTATGTATCATTTATATGTGAAATCTAAAAAGGCCAAATTCATAGAGAGAATTAAGTGATAGTTATCAGTGGTTTGAGTGGATGGCAAGGGAAATGGGAAGATGTTGGTCGCAGGGTACAAACTTCCATTGATAAGTTCTGGGGATCCAATTACAGGATAGTGGTTATAGTTAATAATACTGTATTATACACTCAGAAGTTGTTAAGACAGTGAATCTTAAATGATCTCGCCACAAAAAAGAAATGGTAATTATGTGACATGATGCAGGTGTTAGCTAATGCTAGCGTGGTCATTTTGCAATATACAAATGTATCAAGTCAATACAGTGTATACCTTTAACATACATAATGCTATACACCAGTTATATCTCAATAAAGCTGAAAACAAAGTTTATTACTAAGTATTCTTTAATGCTACTGTTAATGGAATTGTTTTAATTTCCTTCTCAGATAGTTCGTTGTTGGTGTATAGAAATGCAACTGATTTTTGAGTGATTTTGCATCCTGCAACTTTACTGAATTTGTTGACAAATTCAGCTTTTTAGTGGTATGTTTACAGTTTAGTATGTATAAGATCATGTCAGGGATCACATAAAGACACAATTTTACTTCTTTTCCTATTTGAATGCCTTTTATTTATTTTTACTGCCTAAATTCTCTGGTAGAACTTCCAGTACTATGTTGAACAGAACTGTGCAAAGTGGGTATTCTTGTCTTGTTTTGGATCTTAGAGGAAAAACTCTGTTTTTCAACCACTGAAAATGTTACCTATGGGTTTATCACATATGACCTTTTTTTATGTCAAGGCACATTCTTTTCTTATCCAGTTTGTTGAATTTCTTTTTTTTATCATAAAGGGTGTTAATTCTGTCACATGCTTAAGAATAAGCCATGGAGCACTGGGTGTGGTGCAAAAACAATGAATACTGTTACGCTGAAAATAAAAAAATAATAATAAATTTAAAAAAAAGAATAAGCCATCTTATTCTTAAGAATAACCCATCTGTTGAGATGACTGTGTGATTTTTAACCTTTGTTCTGAAAATGCAGTATATCATCCAGACTGATTTCAGTATGTTGTACCATCCTTGCATTCCAGGGATAAATCCCACTTGATCATGGTATAGGATTCTCTTAATGTGCTGTTTAATTGGGTCTCTTAGTATTTCGTTGAGGATTTTTGGATCTGTGTTCGTCATGGATACTGAACACAGTTTTGTTTTCTTGTAGTGCTCTTTGTCTGTCTTTGGTATCAGATTAATGCCGCCCTCGTACAATCTGGATCGAGAGAGTTTGAGGTTTGGTGTCAGTCTCTTTAAATGTTTGGTAAAATTCACCTACGAGGTCATCTGGCCTAGACTTTTCTTTGTGGAGAGGTTAATAATGTGATTACTAATTTAATCACCCTACTCATTTTTGGTTTGTTCAGATTTTGTTTCTTCATGCCTCAGAGCTGGGAGGTTGTACGTTTCGACGAATTTCTTATAGGTTTTCCAATTTGTTGACATATAATTACTTATATATAGTCTCTTGATGATCCTTTTGTTTCTGTCTCCTCTTTCATTTCTAATTTGATTTAGTCTCCTCTGTTAGTCTAGTTAAAAGTTTGTCAATTTTATCTTTACAAAACACCAACTCTTAGTTTCTTTTTTTTTCCTAAAGATTTAGTCTCTATTTCATTTGATTTTACTCTTATCTTTTTCACTTCTTTCCTTTTGCTAACTCATATGTGAAAACTAAGTAAGACACTCCTGAACAACCAATGGTTCAAAGAAGAAATCAAAAAGGAAATCAGAAATTATCTGGAAAGAAATAAAAATGAAAGCATACCATACCAAAACTTATGAGGTACAACAAAAGCATTACTAAGAATAAAGTTTATAGTAATAAAGCCTACATTAAAATGGAAGAAAGTTCTCAAATAAGCAATCTTAAGTTTACACCTCAAGGAACTAGAAAAAGAAAAACAAACTAAAGATTTCTGGTTTCTGAGAAATTTGTCCATTATTATTAGTATGTCCATTAATTCATATGAACATTAATATGTCCCTTCATACTCTTTCCTATTTCTAGTTTTGTGTGTTCTGTTCCCATTTTCTACATCAGAACTGTCCAAAAGAAAGATGTGAGCCACCAATGCAAGCTGGTCGTTAACATCTTTTTTTTTTTTAAGATTTTATTTATTTATTTACAGACAAAGATCACAAGTAGGCAGAGAGGCAGGCAGAGAGAAAGAGGGGGAAGCAGGCTCCCCGCTGAGCAGAGAGCCCGATATGGGGCTCGATCCCAGGACCCTGAGATCATGACCCGAGCCAAAGGCAGAGGCTTTAACGCACTGAGCCACCCAGGCGCCCCTCGTTACCTCTTTTTACTCTGTACGCCACCCCCCAAAGCCTTGAGCCCAGTATGCATTTTATACTTGTATCACAGCTCAATTCACATGGGCTGTGTTTCAAATATTCAATAGTCAAATGCACCTAATGGCTACTGTAGAGTGGAGGTCCAGGTGTTCTTTCCTAAGCCTCCCTCATATATATTATGTGCTCACTGAATGGTCAACCACACCGAACCTCCTGCACTATCATAGTTTCTCATACCCCTACACACACTATAATTTATTTATTCAACAGACACTATTTTATCTTCAAATGCAATTCATCAGAGTTCTCTAAATTGACTTTCCTGTCCTACATTCCATTCTGTCCTCCGCTCCCTTCACCACCACACCACCATTCCAACAGCACACAACTCTCACACAGTGGAGTCAGGGAAAGGGGGAGGGGAAGCCTGTTCTAAAGTCATATCAAAGTGTGAAAAATCTCATTTAATCTAAAACCAACCTGGGGCACCTGGGTGGCTCAGTGGGTTAAGCCTCTGCCTTCGGCTCAGGTCATGATCTCAGGGTCCTGGGATCGAGCCCCGCATCGGGCTCTCTGCTCAGCAGACAGCCTACTTCTCCCTCTTTCTCTGCCTGCCTCTCTGCCTACTTGTGATCTCTCCCTCTCTCTTTCTGTCAAACAAATAAATAAAATCTTTAAAAAAAAAAAAAAAATCTAAAACCAACCTGAAAACCTTAGTCCCCCCACTACAAGAAAAATAGTATACATGACCCTGTGTGTACAAAGCCCTGTAGAAGTATGAACTGAGAAAAACATATTCACATACTCCATCTCATACCTACTTCACTTCAAAAGCTCATTTAGTAGAATGGCAGGTGGATGTTATTGCTATTATGCTAAATAACATAACAGAATTCATATAACTTAATAACTGATATGATGAAACTCCATTTATTACTCCTTCATTTATTATGCCAAACTCTCTACCTCAACTATCCTTTTTGTTACAAAAGTTTTTTGTTTCTTAAGTTTACTCCTAATCTCTACACCCAACGTGGGGCTCAAACTCATTACAACAAGATCAAGAGTCATGTGCTCTAGCAGCTGAGCTAGCCAGGTACCACTTGTTATAAAAGTTTTAAGTAGTCTATCATTTTAGGACTTAGATATCTATTACATCAGGATGAAAGGCAGCATAGAGAGTAGAAACAGCATGGGTTTCTGATTCTAGTTTAGTTCGTTACCATCTATGACACTTTCAGCAACTTTGGAATGAGAATGTTATGTATATCCTCAGTTTGTGAAGATTCAAAGAGAAACTAAACATAAGAGCACAGAACAGTGTTAATTCCAATCCCTTTACCCACTTCTTCCATTAAGTCATTAAAAACCTTCCCTTTGATTCAGAGACCCTTTCCCCTCCAGCCAGAGACCATTTTTAACTAATGAGGAAAGTCAATATTTTTATGTCACAACTGAAACAGTTCTCAATTAAAGATAAATATTCCAGGAAAAAGTGTCAAATCAAAATTAACCACATGCATTCTCATTACCTGCACAAATTTGGGTGGAAATTTCTGTCTTAGGTCTAGGAGTAAAGCATCCACACGTTGTCTCTGAAAAATAGAGCTTGGTTCTTCTTTCCTTTTAGCTTTAGGTTTGACTTTATCTATTAAAATATGAAGTCCAAATCAAAACACTGCCTAATTAGTTTGGTGCCTTACATTTTACAGAGCTCTGTCTACCGTGAATATACTCAAACATTTTTAATAACTACTATTCCAAAGATTATCCCCCAAAATAAACACAACATATAGAAACAAGCATTCTTAACTCTTCCCTCTTAAATGAAGTTAACATTTTAATATTTAAAAAGCTGATTAAGGCTTTTAAAGATGCTTCAGTTTTACTATCTAAGCACAGACAGACATTAAGAATTTTAAGGCTAACATTTTCCATAATTACCTAAATCACAATCCAGATTATGGACCTGAAATTATCTTGTGTATTTTAAGTGTATTAAATTGTCTTCCCACAAAACCCAATAGGTACAAATGGAAATGCAATGTTCACAAGCTCAAGTTATCATACTCAACTATGATTCACTGAAAAAAAAAAAAAATACAGGACAAACCAAACAGCAGATCATAAAGGTAAGAAAGAAAAGAACTTGCAAGAGAAATTCTGAAATTAATCATGTGTAAACTTTCCCCAGCAGGGAGCTGCACTGGAGGACTATCTATAAATGATGAGTTCCAGGTAAGTTTTATTCCAAACATTTCATTAGAATAGGGGCAAACAGCTCGAGAGTTTATTCAACAGATGCAAACTTTCCTAAGCCAAATGTTACTGCCTGCACCTACAATTAAGAATAAATATAACTGGGGCGCCTGGGTGGCTCAGTGGGTTGAGCCTCTGCCTTCGGCTCGGGTCATGATCCCAGGGTCCTGGGATCGAGCCCCCGCATCGGGGTCTCTGCTCAGCAGGGAGCCTGCTTCCTCCTCTCTCTCTCTCTGCCTGCCTCTCTGCCTACTTGTCATCTCTGTCTGTCAAATAAATAAATAAACCTTTAAAAAAAAAAAAAGAATAAATATAACTAGGGGCGTCTGGGTGGCTCAGTGGGTTAAGCCTCTGCCTTTGGCTTCGGTCATGATCTCAGGGTCCTGGGATCAAGCCCTGCCTCCAGCTCTTTGCTCAGCAGGGAGCCTGCTTCCCCCCCCCCCCGCCTCTCCGCCTACATATGATCTGTCAAATAAACAAATACAATCTTTAAAAAAAAAAAAACAAGGTCTGAATGTTATTTGAAGGCTACTCTTCCTTAAGTAATTTATTCTGAGTTGCTATTTCTCCGAGAAGGAAATTCAGAAAATAGGTATACTGCTATAGACACATTTCCAGAGCACTTTTATTGTAAAGTATGGTGCAGAACCAGTAGGAGACTAGCAGTTATGGAAACTAGGGGACCTTGCATCACAACAGGTAGTAACATGGAAAGGTCAGAAAACAGACTGGCCATCTGGAGACAGGGCTATAAAATCATCTCCCCTACTTTGAAGATGGGAGATTCAGGTCCCAGATTTCAAGAGGACCTAACAGTTAGGTAAGCAGGATACATCATCATGACTCATTCCTCATCACCAATATCCTCTATATGCTCCAAGTATTTTAAAACCTTGAATCAACTTACCAAAGATTACCAGTTACCTATAGATTAAAATTTCTATCTGTTCCTATGGGAAAGCTAGCATTACCACATCTAGTTACAGGAATCGTAGCTATGAAACCGTCATCATCCTATGAAGTCTTCCTATTTAAAACACACCTAGAAATCAACAGCTCTTTTTCTAGAGAAAACAGCTTCATTCTCAAAACACTAAAAAGTGTTCTTAGGAGGTCTTGGTGTTTTACCCACCTTGCTCTTCATGATCTTTGAAATGCCACCAGTACCCTTTGGAAGGGTGGTACCGACAGTAGGACATGGCTTCATCAAAGGCTGACTGAATGCCGTGCACCGCAGTAAGCTTGCGAAAAGAGAACAAATTCTGAATTTCTCATTAGATCAACGAAAATCTCCCAAGTAAATACCCACAATATTACATATGCAAAGACAGTAATTTTCTGTTTTGTTTTGTTTTTCAGAACTTTAATCACTACAGAGCTGGGGCTGTCATATATACTTTTAACATGGACTTGGCCCATAGAAACCCATGTTCAAGACATTCTAGTAGTCCAACACTTTGTGCCAACATACCCAAGGAAGAAAAGCTTCTGTTTGACTCTTGGAAACAAGGTAGCGCGATTAAAAGTTTTCTTTAGTGCTTCAAGAATGTGAAATACTTACCACCCTAGAGTTTATAACAGACCCCAAGTCTGGGGCTTGATAGATCACTCCAGCAATGATATAGTAATCAGCCAGTGGGATAACTAAAGCAGAGAAAATAAAAATGTTCATGAATATAGCTATGCACACAAACTGCTAAATAGATTTTCATAAAAAGAACAATTAAAATTAAAATTAAATTAAATTAAAATTCATATTACAATTCTCATATTAAAGCTTAAGGCAGGGTTTGGCAATTCCTATTTCTGTAACTAAATTTATACTGGAAAACAACCATACCCGTTCATTTATATTATCATCTAAGGTTGCTATGACACTAATTGAGTAGCTGTTACAGACATCCTGAGGCCCACAAAACCTAAAATATTTACTCTCTGGACCGTCAGAGAAACAGTTTGCCAACCAGGGCAATGCTTCTCAAATTGGAATGTGCATCTCTATCACCTAAGTATCTTATTAAAGTCAGATTCTACCCAGTAGGGACAGTGCATTTCTGACAAGTTCCCAAGTGATCCAATGCTGCTATTAGCCACCTTACACATTGGGGAATAAGACCTCAGAGTGAGAGATTTAGTGCCTACGATGAAGATATCAGATGCACTGAACTTGCCAATGTGTCCCATTCCTGCGTCCTAAGGAATAAAAGAGCTGCTAGTGAAGCTGGTACTACCCTGTGTCGCTACCATACCTCAAACCCTCTCATCATGGAAATCTTGTTCCTGGTCTTACCTTTGTTCTAAAGTTCTTTTTTTCTGCTGGGCAGGGACTCTAGATCATTAGATTTTGAAACTAAATGTTGATTCTTAGCTCTGGAACTGCAACTTCTTTAGAAATTGTTCTCTGAAATCAGTATCAGGGTGAAGGTTTTTCCTAGATGTCTTGATGAGGATATCTAATGAGAGATGTAGCTGGTCATCTCTGGAATAGTACCTACTTCTTTGACTCAAAGTCAAATCTGAATTCTATACTCTTCAGTGTGATTTCTAAAGCAAGTTTGTGTTTGGTCATACAAGCCACATAAGAATTTCGATTGAATGCGTTAATGAAGATTTTCAATTGATCCTCTATGAATCTGGTGCAACTGTATCTACCATGTATTTTTTAAAAGAATTAAGACTTAGTGGACTGAGAGAATAAGTTACTTAGGAATGTCAAGGTTCCCAACAACTATCCTCACAGAAGAGATGGCTTCAATGTACTGAGTTACTTTGTTAGTGCTTAGACAGTTGTCCTTGGGCATGCTGGAAGACTCTTGGTGTCCAAGCATGTGACTAGTGGAACTTGGCTTTTGAAATATCTTCTAAGGGGTAAATTTATGCCTGCTATACTAGTGTGCCTAGACAATTTGTACAAATAATACGATTATAGTAGAAGCCTCACTGCCTTCTCAGAGTCTGGAATTTTGGCAGGTAGATGATGTCCAGGATTAGCCCTCAAGAAGAATTCTGGACTGAGAATCAAAAGGACTTCTCTAAAGCAGATATACTACACACGCAATATGTGTGCGGGGGCTGCTGGACAAAGGATGCACTTGGTGTAGCCCCTTGCAGGCGGGAAAGTAAAGGAAGCTGACCCATGGATTCCTACAGATCCTACTTGATATGGCTTTTTCCCTTACTGATCTGTCTGTGGAACCTTACTGTGCTGCCATAACAAATCTTAGTTATAACTAACATACCCATATGCTGAATCTGCTCAGTCCTCTCAGCAAAGCACTGAACATGTATGTGGTCTGGGGATCCCCAAAACAGAACCCAATCCAAAAAAGTAAGAATATGTAGCTCAGAAAGTTAAGTAAATCATAGTATTTTAAGAAGAAAATTATGCCTGAAGTTTACATTTTTACCTTGGGTAGGGGACTGCCGCTGTTGCTTCCGAATGATAAAAAGAATGGGCTCCTGAGCATGTAAAAGGATGTATTCTACTCCAACCATTTGACTAAAAACAGAACACACACATCTAGAGATCTATGAATGCTCTATAAACAATTGTGTAGAACAATGAGATTATTGTATAAAAGTAGAATAACACTGTCAATCAAATTAAAACTGCCTATGTTTGATACTAAAAACTGGCTGTCCAATAAAACTGGCTATTTTCTCAGGTAGGTAGGATATAAAGTAAGATTTTATTTTTAAACAACAAAATTTCTCTACAAAAATCTACAATAAGCTTAAATCTGAGTATTTTCAGTCATGAAAGTACATGGGAGAGTGTACATTTCAAAAAAGACAACCAAAATACTGCAATGCTTCCTGAGATGTATACATATATGTAAAATCTAAAAATATATAGTACATGAAGACCATTCAAGTCTTGACCATAGATTTCAACATTCAACAAGAAAACAACAAAAACCTTATCCTTGTCTCCTACAAATTTTTTGAACTGACAGATTATTTAAAAGCAACAGTAAGTAGTCTTAATAGTTGTAAATATTTGCCTCTTAAAAGCTATTTAAGATTACCTCAGGAATTTAATTTCAAGAACCCCTCTGATGTTTAGCTGACAAATGAAAAACTGTATGACACAACTGTTTCAGAAACTTTCATAATAGCAATAAATTCTTAATTATTTGGCATCCAAAGTCTGAAGACTCTTACTTTGCAACTGTCAAGCTAAAATTCCGTCATACAAAGAAAAATCTACTATAAGCCAGACTATGGCTTAAGACATTAAATTTGACGTGAAAGAGACAATGAGTATGGTCACCTGGTAGAGAACAATTGCATTGCTAAGGTCAGTAACTGGATCTGCATCTAAACCTCATAGCTATATCTCAACTAGACAGGAATACATGAAATTATACCGATAAGCATTCCTAGGTTATGACTACTGATCATTCCTTTGCATGTCAAATTTGTACACCCCCCCCAAACTCTAGTTCTTCCAAAACTTCTACTCTGTACTTCACTATCCATAGCTTGAGAGAACCATTCATTTCAACATCTCTAATTGGCAAAGATGCAACCTTCTTACAATAACTTACTTTAAGTGTTCTAATGTTAGCCTCTGCATTTTGACCACCTCATTATTACATGTTCTGTCATAAAAAGGATTACTTCTTTCTGAAAAGTAATCCAGGACACTTCCACTGTTCAAAATGGGGATCCAGGAACTGTCAACCCAAGAGATTCCCAGCAGATTATCTACAGGAAAGAAACAAAATGATAAAGCATGAGAAAAATGACAAAAAGCCAATCCAATACTTATTATGCATCTAATGCAGAAGGCACTATAATGTAAGACCTGTATGAATCCTAACCTACATCCTCTCACAGAAAAGTGTGCAAGAAAGCAATAACAAGATGATATGATAAGCGCTGTAACAAAGATATGAATAAATATGTTACCAGAGCACAATGGAAGGAGAATCCCTTACCTGAGGGAACAGGAATGGTTTTTCACAGGATGAGGAGGAGGTGGGTTTTGGCACTAGATGTTAAAAAATAAATGCACCCCAAAGAAAACATTCACAGCCACCAGTTTGAGGCCACCCAATTAGGGACAAAAATAAGTTAGGAAGCTATTAATACAGAGGAGATAATGATGCAAGAGTTACGAAGCAAGTGAAGTAGAATGCCTTTAATTACAGCAATACAGTTTCATATTTTGGAACAGAATTAACTCTAATATTTCAAAATGCAAAAAAAAAAAAAAAAGACACGGTAAATAGAACTAGATAGCTTTATTAATGAGCTTTTATTCCCTACTGACTGCAATAATGTTCCATATCACTGACAGTACTAAAACCCATTAGGTTTAAGTTATGAACATCAAAATGCCTATTAATACTAGTTGAAAAAGGGAGAATGGAAAACTTCAATCTCTCCTAAACTGTAACTGCTTGACACCTTTAAAGAAGTCAGGCCTAATCCAAGGCAACAAGCAGTTCTAAGGGAAATTAATCAAATGAGAAAGAGTAATTTTATAAAGGTAAAAGGTGCTCTGTATGCTGTAAAATAAAGGAAAAAACAAACAGATGAAGTATGTGAATCATCAAATAATCAACATAGAGCATTAAGATGGTTCATCATAAATACACCACACCATAACCAGATATCTAACATGCCAGGAAATAACATTTTCAGAAAAAGACAGATTTTTTTTTAATGAAAAGCAACTAAAGATAATTATTACTTTCAGCTTTAAACACTAGAGTCCAGTTATTAAAGTAGTTTTGTTCAGGGGCACCTGGGTGGCTCAGTGGGTTAAGCCGCTGCCTTCGGCTCAGGTCATGATCTCAGGGTCCTGGGATCGAGCCCTGCATCAGGCTCTCTGCTCAGCAGGGAGCCTGCTTCCTCCTCTCTCTCTCTCTACCTGCCTCTCTGCCTGCTTGTGATCTCTCTCTGTCAAATAAATAAATAAAATCTTTAAAA